TTCAAAGATCTAAGTAAAGCCTTTGATAAGGTCCCGCATTCGGGTCTTAAATTCAAACTGGAAAGTTTTGAATCCATTATAAGGTCATAGACTGGATAAGTGACTTTCTCCATGGCAGGATTCAAAGGGTAAGGATTAAAAGAGCTCTCTCCTCATGGGGACTTCTGAAATGTGGAGTTACCCAAGGTTCAATCCTCCGTCCTCTTCTTTTTTACTTTTCGTAGACCAGTTGACAACTGCAGCAGTCATCCGTTCTACTGTTTTCCGATGACGCAAAGATATGGAGTCCCATACACAGTATGTCAGATAGGATTATCTTAGCTCATTAGTAGCATGGATGGTCAGGTGGTCACCAGGAGTAAATCCTGACAAGAGTGTGGAGATGCAATTAAATAACTATGATGAATCACACCACTATACAATATGTGGATTCGTGCTACCCAAAGTAAGAAACTATAAAGATTTGGGAGTCATACTAAGCAGTGGTCTCAAAACCACCAGTCACTGCAAGGCTGTTGCTGCAAAAGGCTAAAAGGTATTAAGGTTTACTCGTAGATCTTTCCAGTATTTAGATGACGAACTGTTTAGATTATACCCGACTTCCGTGCGACCACATTTGGAACATAGGATTCAAGTAACGATTCCTTGTTTCAAGTATGAAGCAGATGTGCTGGAACGAGGGACTAAGATGGCACAATGTCTATCTGGAACATCTTATGAAAACAGACTGAGACACATTAACTTATTTCAGCTATCTTACCGTAGAATGCTGGATGATCTTGTGGAGGTAGGTCTGACAAGCTTATTTTGTAAATAGTTTTTAATATTATTTGTATTTATTTTGTCAATTTCTCACTGCATGCACATTTGTCATTAAATGATTGTACCTGTTGTTTAAGTAAATGACCTTGAAGACTTTTTCCGTTGTCATACTACATAGCGTGACATATCGTTGCTGGTTAACAAATACACTGCTTCTCTCACATTCCCCGTTCTGTTTTCATTCGAGATTGAGTTAACTGAGATCTAAAACAAATATTATTTACATTCATAGACTGAGAGCGAATACACCATATCTTACTTTGGATTACACCACTGGAGAGTTCATCGATACGTTTGGAATTACCAAGCATCTATAATTGTGGATTTATTGTACCAGATTAAAGCCGAACACGCATCATTTTGGGTGAACTTAAGTAAAGTCCCATTTTTATTGTATTTGTAACATTTAACTGATATACATTAATATTACTATTGATTTTTATTAACTTTGTTAATACTTTTTGTGTTTATATATCGTCTGGTCCACCACAATCTGATATTGGCTTATCGTATACTGAGTGATGACCTTGGTATTAATATGTCTTATCTTTTCCTTCCGTCTAGGACTGATCGTTTGCGAGGACATTCAGAGAAAGTTCAAAAACCGAGATCAAATCGTCTACATCTAGAGTTTCGTTTCTCGTACCGAGTAGTGAATTACTGGAATTCTCTACCAGAACAAGTAACATCATCACCTTATAATGATATATATTCAAAACGAGATTGGACCTCCACAGTGTTACAAACTGCAATGAATAGTATTCGTCGATAGAACTCCTATCCTTATTACTGAAAACTGAAGACAAAGGCCATTCACAAAGTCCCACTTTATTCTGACTGGTCGCTTACCTGACTGCCACGATTACGAAATTGAGTTGCGTTTAATTGCAGCCGACTGGACCATGTGGTGGTAGTGTCAAAATCTTCTTTGTGCTCGTTCTTACTAATATATTCACGTTAAAACGTCCTTTGTATTGTACGGTCTTTATAGCAGCCATAGTGCCTAGATATGACGACGGGGTATTCGGCGTTACATGTGACTTCAACGTTATAACCAGCAGCTATAGCTGCTGGTCACATCACTCTCGTCTAACTCGAGTGAGCCCTAATCACTCGATGTGGATTATCTTCGTCGTTGATCTACGGAGCGTTCAATATTAAGTATTTTAGAGCATCTCACTCACTCATTGGATGAATGCAACATATCCCAAGCTGCCAACTTTGAGGAAAATTTGGTTCATTTTGGGAAATGAGATGAAAACCCCAAGATTTCCTTAAAGCTGGCAGCTTGGGATAAGAGCACGACGTTCACTAAGAATTTTATTTCAAGACCCAGTCCGTTTTACACTTGTCGATTTCGGGTGTTACAGTGGCGTGTCCATAGAAGACGTGTAGATAACTGAAGGTGACTGAAGTGAAATTTTCAGTAGAAATCATGCACTCATTTACACTATTCACCCACTAAGTCAAGTGCAAAGTGCTCAAAATGCTAGGTATTGAGCATCTGTTCAGAACTAAAAGGGTAGTTACCGACACTTAAAAAGTCAACTTTCTGGATGATTTATTCACCTGGACAGACCAACTGGCTGTGGGATCGAACATAATCAATGCAAAACAGAACCAGTGATTCGATTAATGAATTGCGAAAATCGAAAGTCTGTAGGAGGGGCAGAAACTGTTTAACTAAAACTAGCATTCGTATTTTTTTTGCCGTTCATATGAAGTTCGATCAGATGAAGAGGCTAATGACTTGCATGTTTTTTAAATAGAGAGCATTAGCTGCGTTTACATGAACTCTGGAAGCCTATAAAAAAAGTAGATGAAATCCATGGATTTGAACAGTGTCCAGCTTGTAGATCAAGAGTTTTTAATACCCAATATCTCATTATCTCTAACAACAGGCGTTTATATGTAATAACTTCCAAGGCTATCTTCAATAGTTGAACTGAGTAGCTTGTTTCCATTTAGATGAAGAAGCTTACCCAGAAATTTTTACTTCATAACTTACTTTCTGCATGTCAGTCTCAGTTCGTTTCCTTATGTTTGTAAGCAACCTAAGTTCATACGGAATCCTTACCTTTTGAACGTTTACACTGAAAATATATCACTGAGTATGATTTAACCAAACTGGGAAGGACGGCCCTGGGCAGCATTTCAAACGACCTAGAAATAATTCCAAAAATGCTCTTAATAATGTGTGGATTTATGAATACATTAATCTAGAGGACAGATGTTTGTTCTGTCTACGACTCGTCTTTATTCACATGATCACTCTAGGACAGACAATAACTGTGGCATCCCATTTATAATTTCTCAGCTGCTTACCTAACAGCGACCGTGTTACTACAGTTCTCTTGGTAAAACAGTAGTCGCAAGCATTCACTGTGTATCTAGTTAATTAATGAGGTCAGCATCAATGTCGAAGATCTACAGGACTATTTATTTAGGGGATTTTTACCGCCGCCACCGAAAAATACCTTGTGATATATCCTGTATTGCTTCATGAAAACTAAGTTAACTAGACAGTTAACGTTACCTACAACTACTATCGGAATGTCTTCAGAAATACAGATTTTGTGGCAGTAAGAAGGAATTTTTTATCTTTGTGTCATAAGTTTATAAGCACACGTCTTCTCACCAACTAGTGTATGCAAAAAACCTTTCTCAAATTTATAACTCCTCAACGCGGAGCTTTTATGACATGATAAGCTAAGTGAGCGTTAATGATAATCATTATTGGAAAAAGGATAAAGTAAGTAGCATCTCCCATTAAGAACTTTTTTTTCTCATTCTATAAAGTCATCGTGAATTACCGTGCATCAATTTATGTCGTCATATATTACGTATACAAATTTCGGATTGAAACCAGCTATAACGTCCGGTTGTTATTCCACTACAGAAATCACGAACGTAATTATGGTTTTCACTGACAAAATAGATGTGTAGATTAAATGATTGGATCTTTTTAATTTTTTAAAACTCATCAAAATTTTAACACAAGCTTCTATATACATACACTAACCTCACGTGAATTTGTTGCATTAAGAGAAAATAGACGTATTTCGATAATTCAGTGAGGATACGATTGCCAAAATTATGTGATGCATTTGCGCTTTATATTTTGAAAAATCAGATAACAAATACCTTCGTCTTCTCATTGCATTATCAAAGGGACTGATTGTTGTAAATGAAATGCAGACAAAGTACGTACGGTTTAGTCTTTTGAAAACTAGACATTCTAAATAAGCCTCACATTTACCGGCAACTCTTGTCCTTTTTTAGGTTTTAGTTTGTAATAAATGTTTTACCACGCACAAGAACTGTTACGGGTAGTCCAATGATATTTTGTAAAGTGTGACTAATTTCTGCAAATAAGCGTCTTTTAACATATATCACTTCTTCATATCAGGTCAACTGCGTAAAAAACTGGTTTTCATAGGGAAGTACAAATAACCATTGGAGACGAAGAAACAGTTAATTCTGATTCAACTTATTAAGCTTGAACTACACTATTTAGTGTAGACTAAAGTGTGAAATTTGAAACATTTGCATTTAAGGTAAACAGGAAAATCCTCTTTACTCACGGCTTCAATTGCCATATATGTCTTCGTTAAAATATAAAAAACTTCTCATACTTCCGTTTGTTTCAGAATCCTCTCATACTTATTTTCTATCCTTTGTCGTGTTCCATAAGATCTCGACATCTAAGCGTGCTTAATTATTTGGCTTGTTATATCACTATCTTTATTTTGGAAGCATTTGTCTTTAAGAGTTCTACCCATATCCTCACATTCAGATGTTGGAAATCGATATGTACGTGTTTGTTTTACTCGTTCATTTCTAAAAATAGCTTCCTATAATTTGTTTTGTAAAAGGCATTCGAAAGAACAAGACGATGTAACACTAGAATTGTGATCTTTGTTTGTTAGACAACCATCCTGTTATGAATCAGTAATATGGCACACGTACAATCCACCCAAACAATAACAAGTAGATATTATCCTGAAATCAGCTCAATCACCTTTTCTAAGTTCAGAACACTTGTAGAACATAAATATAATCAGGTGCAGGCCATTCACAATTAGTCTATTATTGAACGTGAATAATTGTTTTCATTCGGTCAGACAAATATCATGAAATAAAATGTGGTGCACTTATCTGAGTCTGTCCAGTCTCAACTGCCCACTTTTGAAGGCAAGCATCTAAATTTCTTTATTTTAAAACAAAAATTGGCCTTAAGGGCAACCAAAATATAAGTGTGCCACACATTTATAGATAGAGAAGGGAAAACGAGTCCATAACAAGTCTATAAATTAATGTGTGAGGGTGGAAAAAGGAACAATAAAGATTGGAAAAACAGTTAAATTTTAAAAAATGCAACCGGAAAGGATTATTTTAATGAATTTCTCACATGAAAAAAGGTACTGCAGTGCTTCTACAGACTTCCATTCCAAGCCATGAGTGGTAACATCTCAAGCCACTGTCTGGATATTGTAGAGGACCCTCCCAGGACTATTTATAACTTGTCAGGTGAAAAAGTACCTTCTGGGGTGTATGTACCGATCACGTAGACACTAACGTTATCGAAGACTTCATCCTGGTTAAAATCATAGGGAATTTTCCTTCGGTACCGGATTGTAGGTAGTAAATAATGCATATTATTCCACCTACTCAGCACCTGAAGCTGTTAAGTACAACCAGAAAGTCTACTGTTTTTTACCAAATTAAAATAACCCATTGTGTTATTGAAAAAAAGATGGAAAAAATTCAGAGAAAAATTCCTTTAAGACAGTCATTTAATTGGACTCTACATTTCTATTCGTAGTTATATAGTAAATATATGTCTATAGAAGGATAGGGGAGATCGTGTCGTAAAGTGATTCGAGACATTGAATATCAAATTAGGTTGCGTAATAACCAGCGGGTTAGGGAATGGAAAGATGAAAATAATGTACAAGTGAGATTCATAGAGATGAAAAGCATACAAATCATAATGATCATGAAAAATCGGTTAAGCATGGTAATAACTGATTGCGGTTTAAAATTACGAATCGGTAATTTTAAAAATACCAAGAACTAGTACTGAGGGGAATCAGGGCCAACGAAAGATGACGAGTTGCACATATCGCTTTAGCACACAGAGTTCGGGCTGATATTGATGGGTCACTAACGACTCAGCAGTAAGTTTTTGATCCGGCCTCCCTTTGATTGTGAACGACCGGGTGAGGTGTTAAGGCGCACTCCAATTTATCGTACTAACAACAAAAATGGATAAAGTCAGCTAGAAGCTGGATATTCCGAGAAGTAACCGCTTCTCAGTCAACATTCTTGTGACAACAATGAAACTACTATGCAATACATGACAGCGACCATGGGATTTCAACAGTTCCTAACAAAAAGATAAAATCGACACGTCCTAACGGGACTACGAAGCAAGACGATCTCGATCCTTTTTATCATTCGCACTCTGTAAATATTGATGTGCCGACTTTATTCGTGGGTGTACAAGAAAAAAAGCCAAACAAAATTATCCATAATCCTAGTAACCTATCATTCGTGTAATGACAATTCCTGACTCTACACAATGAATAGGTCCCATGCAAATACTTCTCACGAAGTTCAATGTTGTCTTCACACATTTTGCAGAGCGTAATTGAGGTTGCAAATTGACTGGACACATTCTCTCTTCCTTTATCTGGATGTTGACCGTAATAACGATGAGAATAATGGATGAAACAAACCTTCGTATGCGTCACACAAAGTCCTACTTCAAACTCGAGATCGCGTTTGGAAACGACAAGTTCCTCTCGTCTATGCTTCTCATTGGTAACGTACACAGGCCTAAACAACCACACCAGAGGTCAGTGAGTCGTATCAGCATGACAAACTGTAGTCACAGGTAGTTTGCAAAGGAGAAACTGGTGCCCTCAAATCTTAATGACTATTCGATTTTTGTCGTCGTTCACGACTGAAAGCTTGATTTGTCCAAAGACATTACTGATAATGGGAATTTGCGATGTCTGATGAGAAAAGCGAAAGTACGCTATGATTGTCGCCACCAACTTCTGCAATAACTATTATTTCGTCGCTGCAAAAGCCAATCAAGCCTACATCCGAATATAAAACGATTGCATCAACACACTCACATAGAAAAGGACCGTCTCGGTGATGACCAACTGACACTATTGATTGTGTAAAATCACAAACAACTTGATACTTCTGGTGATCTATAGCCATCACTTTAGTTGGTCAATATTACATTACAGTATGTACCAAGAGTTAGTACTAGTATGAGACAACTTTTTTGGACCCTAGAGAAGCAGGAGAATCCCTAGAGCAGGAATGAGAGCTTTCTGATAAAGCTTGGAGAAAATTAAGTTTCAGTAAACTACTTTCATGCATTACCATATTAAGTGGTCGAAATATACGCTTAACACAATCAACAACATGTGAGAACGTACAGCAAGAAAAACCGGTTTTAATGCATACGCCAGGTATTAGGAACATGAAAACTACTAACCCCCAAAATAACAGGCCAGTGAAGTACGCATTAGAATAGATTTATTACATTTGAATATAATTATTTGAAAATCTGGTCCTTAGCCCACATTTGACTACACATAAAATCACAGGTCTTCATCACCTTCATCTGGAAGAGGAGCCTCAGCAGCCATCTAAAAAAGTAATGAGACGACAACATATTTACCTGGATTTCTTGTTCATATTGTCGAACCAAGTAAGGGTCGATTTGGATTTCTGGAGGCTGCATTGCAGGCATTTCTACGAACTCGAGGTTTGGATCACCAACGAGTTTACGAAACAGCCAGAGGAATGGTTTTTCGAAATTGTAGTTGGACTTAGCGGATATGTCATAGTACTAGAAAATATTTGGCATGAAACTCACTTACTTGTAAGTTCTTCTTTCTGTGGAAAGTTATTGACTTTGCTTTCACCTTCCTATCCTGTATGTCGACTTTATTTCCACACAAAACAATTGGTATATTTTCGCAGACGCGAACCAAATCCCTATGCCAATTGGGGACGTTTTTGTACGTGACACGACTCGTCACATCGAACATAATAATTGCACACCGTCCTTGGATGTAATATCCATCTCTTAAACCACCGAATTTTTCTTGCCCTGCTGTATCCCACACATTGAAACGCATTTTACCACGAGTTGTGTGAAAATCAAGAGGGTGAACTTCAACACCCAATGTGGCTAAATTGAACTTAGTAGATGTATCCATAACCTACCGACATACTTCTTTTCAAACTCTCCGGTAATATGTCGCTTCACGAAAGTTGTCTTCCCTGTACCACCATCTCCAACAAGAACTAGTTTGAAAGCTGCCACTGGTGCTTGGTCTACCATGCTTACAGTGAATCAAGAAAGGCTAAGTACGATTTCAAGAAACACACCCCAACACTATTTTGAATCACTAAAACAAACTCGAACAAAATGTATAGGTCATTCTAAACATTTTACTCCGACAAAGTAATAAGAAATAATTTTAATGCAATAAAAGTTAAATACATGTCTTGTTGAGGGATAGTTCAGCTTGTAGGGCCAGTGAAATATTACTGGGCCAAGGCCAAACAATCCGACAGTCTGGTCACTGTATATCGAACAGTTTATAGTTTCTCATCGAAGTCAAGTACAACTAACACGCATCAGTTAATCATACTGAGTGAATTTGTACATGCAGTGCTAAACGCGTTCTGTTCTGTTACCAACATATGTCTGTAGTAACGTCGTTTGTGTTAAACGATCGCAAAAGTATCTGTAGTACTTAAATAATGCGAAAGTCTAGTCCACATTAGGTACTAACCGTGAGATTTGATTCCGGCGTTAGCTGGTTGCTTTTACTATTCACGTCTGACTCGAGTAGGCTCAAAATCATAGACACAGATCATCGTTGGTGATCTACCAACAAAATATCATTGTATTTATGTAGCGCAACTAGTCCTAATTATATAAGTAGTGTTTTAATGGTGTTTGTTTCCAAGTTTTTAGTGGTGAGACAGACGCTTAGAATTTCAATTACGATTCGAAGAGTGTTCCCTTAGTGAACTTTAAATCTGTGTATTGACACCTTCAGTAAATGGTTTCATATAATTTCAATGAAGCTATGCAAATAAGAGCTAAACGCACTGGTAGCGTGAACATCTTATGACTTCCTGTTAATTAAAGTGTTCATCAAAACAAGGAAACGATTACATATAATCTCATTCGATGCTATATGTCTACCAACGATAGCAGCAAATGTGACAATGCCAGATTTATTAGAGTCTGAATTTCATCCTAAAGAAATTTCAATGAAAAAAACCTATTCATCCAGATGAGAACAGGAATGTCAGGAATGTTCTTGACGGTTACATTGTTTTAATCGGAGACTCAAAACAAAGTCAAGCCAGATGTTGGGAGTTACGGAGCTTGGTGATACATTTTAAAGATGATCGATCGGTTGGAAAGTATGTTGAATAAGCTGGCTAGTTGTTGCAAGACATGTGTAGCATAATGGAGCCACTGACGATTTAGTCTGGATGCATAATTAAGCGACTTTAGCTAGAAACTGACAGGCAAAACCAATGGGGTCAAAAACAATGTCGAAAACTAACAGAACTGTTTATGCTCAGGGTTTTATTCACCTCATAGACTCACTGCCCCTCTAGTGTGGTAGTAATGACCTATGTTAAACTTTCTCCTTATAGTTTGCTGTGTCCAGTAGTGTCTGTTCGTTGTTCTCAACTCTTATAAGCTATGTTCTACATAATAATAAATTTGTAGTTAATTTCGGTTCATTGCATTTGTGTTTGGCTTTCATCTTTTCCAATCGTCCCGAAAAAGAAAAAAATGAAAGAAAAGTTGTATGCTTTCTTGATTTTTTAATACGTGTGCATTTCTGTCTGATGGATAATTTGTAAAACATTCCTATTAATGAACCTCTCTAAGTGTTTTTCATTACCTTGTATTCTGCATCTAAATAAACGTTTCGGGATACTTCGGCGTTTCCTACCTATGGCTAATTGTAGTATTATAGTGAACGAGAACACAGATGGGGATGACCTATTTTATTTGAGTGCGAAACTACAGAGTTCTTTGGTAAAATATGAAAACCATAAATTCAATACTTCATTTGCAAATCCTCCATCGATTGTCGCGAACTGCATGGTTCCTTCCTTCCCATGACAATTACTCACTGTTCCCGTTCTCTTACATTTGATCTTCCTATCTTCTGCTGCTAGGCAGTTTATTTCTGACTGATGCTACATACTTGTGTGAACATAATTAGCATACACCACAGTAACAATTCAACTCGGCTTCTGTAGACCCTAACGTTATATTTTTATTAAGATCGCTCGATCAAACTTTCTTCGGTTGTACAGAATTCGAGTTTCAAATATGCTGCTGACGTACACTCGTTATCCTCAACAGAAAGCTAAGGAAAATCAAAGTGAACGATGGTAGTATATATATGTTGTTTTAAATACATGTCTGGTGTTTTTATATGTGGATGTTGCTGTAAGATCCATTTTGAAGGTTTTATGTGTTGGTGAAAATCCCTCCATGTATATACTTGTACTTTGTTCCTATTGATTCCCTTAGTTGTACATTGTTGTATTTTGATTACATTTGAGTTGTTGATACTTGTATTTTTTATTATAGTTTTTGTTTTTCTTACGCATTCACTAAGTTTGTGTTTCTTCCTGAACTGCATCTGTGTTGTTTTACTTGACACTTGTTCTTGGCGGTAGCCATATTGATTTGTTCCTCCTGTTGTGTGTGATCTATCCAGCCAGGATAGAATAACGTTGATTTGTTGTGATTGGTAATTTTTCTCATCTTCTATCAACTTCTTTATTATTGTAATTTAGATTTAATTGATTGAACAATCATTGGTTGAATAGCCGGGTGATAATATTTGTTTAGAACCGCTAGTTACCCGATTACTTGTTCTGATTTCGACGGGAAAGGGCGCGTGTCTAACATCCTCGGTCGGCTATTCTTCAACATCCAAACCGTAGTTTGGATCCTACAGTTGGAGCTACTTAAACTTCTCAAACTACTAGTTATTCAGTCACTTGAACCGTAGAAGATAGCAGAACAAATCATGTTTATTTGTCGTCTGATACGAATGCTTGGCTGAGAGCTTTCAGTTTATGGGGTTATGTACGGTTGAGCCGATAAGATCGGGAACATCTTCGTAAACCTATGAAGCTGTTCATTTCAGGAATTTGTTTAATACTACACATTTTTATATTCATTTGGCAGGTACATGTCGGATATAATGGCATAATGCTTACTAAGATCCCTACTTCAACCTCGGGCATTCGCTGTGTATGCTTTTTTATCCAGCAAGTTGGAATACACTAGTGTAATATGTTCACAGACGATGTAACTAGATACATTTTGACAACTGAAATGAAATACCTCAAAAGTAATAAGCTTTTATGTATATCATTAGTCCACTAACTGAACGTAAATAAAATAGATATTAAATGCCTAATTAAGAATGTAAAAAAGTGATGAACAACATTATGGCTTTTGTTATATTTTTTCGTTGTCGTCTTCGAGTACTTTATTCACAAGTTGATGTAGATGTTCGTTTACAGAATAGGTTATAATACGTAAAATTCAAGCTTATTTGTAAAGTAATTTATAGTAGTATTAGATTCATTCAAAAATTCCTCCATGGCATATTTAATTTGGAGTATTGCATTTGAGTATTAAGGTAGCTACTGTGTCAGCATCAAGTACACTTTGAGTGAAATATCGTCGCACTCTTATCATTTACGACTTATCAGATATGAATTAATTGGTAAACATGTAATAATAGTATTCAGAGATGAAATCAACCTCAAACTTGTACAGAAACATCTTACGTTCATTTAAATATAAAGTTTGTGGGATAAAATATGGTATTCTTAGCTATTATAATGGTATAATCAGCAAACGTTCGGAGGAATCTAGGCCAGGGAAGGTTAGCAAATGTAACAATTATGTAATAACAACAATAATGACAATGATAAGATGTGTGGATAAGCCAAGTTTAAGATATAAAAGCAAACATTAATCAAATTACGTCACCATATCATAAATTGGCTTTAACTAATTCGGCCCGAGGTTGACCAGAATAAAAGGAGCAGCATCCACCTCTATACACTAATACTTGCCTAATTCATATCCAATATATTACATTGTTTCTGATTTGTAACTACATTAGTCTCTCTCTCCGATCAATGTTGACTATATTAACTCTAGTAATTTATTTCACAATTTATTATAACTTATTAGCTTATTCAAGTTAACACTTCATATTTTATTTTATATGACAAACGATCCCACAAACATGAAAACGTTTCTTCTTTGTTTTGAGGACATCGGTATGTGTTAAGACAGTGCAAATACATTTACAGTATATCATTGGACCAGAAAAACGCCATGAAAAACTTGGCACTGACTCTTCCGAACTCTCCGAAATTCTCAGAAATAGGATAAAATGTTCCATCACGTAAGGAAGAATCAATCACTACCAAATGAAAACCCAGAAGATTAATCAGGACCTACCTCAATACCTTCCTTTGAGGTCAACAATTTGTTCAGAATTATTTCAAAGTTAAAAGCTCGCCAAAATGCGTTTGTAGTGACGGACTATGAAATTAATGACCCATATCACTCTCTACCACATAACAACCTACTGCCTGGAAAACAAAACACTTTATTCAAATGATTTAAGCATGACCTGTGGCAAGTTTTGAAAATCAAAGTCCTGTAGACATCAAAATCTATCATATATATATATATATAATCGCGGATAAGTGAGTTAAAACGGCACCAAATCGATTTACACTTACAAATGATCCTTTGGTGTTCATGGTTACTCATCGTTTTCCACGTTGAAACAGAAGCCAATTTGTGGGTGTTACATACTTACTAATTTACGCCTATTACTCCTCAGAGAAAAGCATAAGACTTCCACGAACGATCTCCATCAAACTATGTCCTGATCAGTCCTTTTCATTTCTTTCCAGTTGATATCCATTATTCTATTGTTTGCTTCCAAATCTCGACGCATTGCGTTGTTTGGCATTTCTCTTCTTCCTTTGCCTTTCGGGTTCCAAATAAGAGCTCACCTCGCGATGCAGTTTCATGATTTCTGTGATGTATAACTGTAGTGGCATTGGACAATAGCCACACAATCCACAAAGCTTTGAACACAAGACCACTCAGAAAATAGATATTCAATATTTAACTCGGAGTAATACCTAACAATGGAGAAGGCGCAGAGAATGAATTGAATGGACTGGAGTTGATTGAGTGGCATGGCTCGGCCATGCAGGCGTGGTCTCTGCTGAATGTTACCTTATATCTTCTATTCATATTAAATATATTGTTCTTTCTCTAGCCTAACCTTGTTCTTCATCATGTATTGGTAATTGATACGATACAGTGAGTTGGTGTAGTCGATGGTGTGAC